GTCTTAATAAAGGGGAAGAAAGAAAGAAGGCAGGAAGGCAGAAAGACAGGAAGAAAGAAAAGGAGGGAGGCAGGGAGGAAGAAAAACAGGGAAAATCGATGAACTAAATTTTAAAAGTGTATTTTATCCAACCCAGTATATCTAAAATATTATCGTCTCAGCACATCACCCTAGCAAAGTCACTAGAGTCATTTTTCGCCTTTTCGTGAGGGCATAGAATCCAGTAGCAGCCCGGCTCGAGCGAGGCCCACCCAGTGCCTGTAGCCACGTGTGGCCAGAGTGGGAGGCTTCAGGTCATTTCAGGGAGATGAAAGGCATTTAGCTCAGATGAGCTCCTGTGAAATGCCAGCTGTTCCCCGCCCTCCCCAGTCTTCCCTGTTTCTTGTTTCCCTTCTTTGTGTGTGTGTGTGTGTGTGTGTGTGTGTGTGTGTGTGTGTGGTTTGTGCAGTACCAGGACCCAGGTCCTCATACATGCTAGCCGTCGCCTTCTTACCGAGCCACACTCCCAGCTCTTCATTTTCATCTTCAGTCCCTCCTCACAGAACCTCCCCAGACCTCAAAAATCAAAACAAAGAACTCTACGTGTGTTCTGCGCTTGACGGTGTCCGCAATGCTGGGGCCGCCCCTATCTCGCTTAATCATTGCTGCAGTCGTGTGGGTTGGGAATGAGGCTCCGTGGTATGAAATTCTGTGCCCAGAGCTGCTCTGGGAGCCAGGGCGGGGCGGGGACTCTGGCTCTGCCCCAAGCCTTTCCTAGCTGCTCACACCCGCAGCAGCCCTGCGAGATCACTCACCTGGGCAACAGGGACCGTGTGCTCCTCACCCACCCTGGGGCTGCCTCCTGGCCTTTGTGCTGCCAGCCCTTTCCTAGCGCACCCCTGCAGCCCCTACAGGTCAGAATGGGAGACAGGCTCTCTCCCCTCCTCCCTCGCTGCCACCGGGCCTGCGACGGCTTTAAGTATAACCTGAACCCCGTGCCAGCCCCCCATAAATCAGCCCCAAGTGCTATCTGGATGCTGGCTCTGCTGCCAAAACCTTCATTAGTTTCGGGCCAGGGCCAGCGCGCGAGGCTGGCCCTCTCTGTGCCTGCAGTGACTCACCCCTCTGGGAAGGGCTGAGGGACTTGTCCTTGGGAGTGGGGGTGCGGTGGCCTCTGTGGCTGGGGACACAGCCTCGCTTTGTTACTGCCTCTGATGTCCCAGGCAGGAAGTTTAAGCTGTGCCTCTGGGAACAAACACGGGGAGTCCTCCGGGCCCTCCCTTCCCTGCGCCTTCCCTGCTTGTTTCCCACGGGGATAGGAGGTGTGATGAGGTGTCACCGTGGCTCAGGCATATTGTAGCTTCTAGGCAAACGTCCAGGTGGGACAATTCGAGCATGTTCTCAGGTGTAAGTGACCAATGGAGTAAAGGCGGGAACATCAGAGCACAGGCTGAGGAGTAGGGAAAGAAGCACAGGAAGTGGTGGCTGTGTGCCCAAAACAGGCCAGAGGGTTCACAGTGGTGTTTCCCCTGGGTCTATGCACCCCCAGACTCCTCGTTACCCCGAGGGTCTGAATCTCTACTCTGAACCCTAGGAAGGCTGGGCTGAGGTAGAAATGGTGAGCCGGAAGGCCAGTCTGGGCTGCTGGTCCAGGAGCAAGAGGGTCAGGTGGGGTACCTGCCAGAACCACCCGCATCTCTCCCAGCGTGGGCCAGAGGCAGCTGGTATGCCTGGCCCGAGCCCTGCTCCGCAAGAGCCGTATCCTTGTTCTGGATGAAGCCACAGCCTCCGTTGACCTGGAGACAGACGACCTCATCCAGGCCACCATCCGCACCCAGTTTGAGGCCTGCACCGTGCTGACCATCGCCCACCGGCTCAACACGATCATGGACTACACCAGGTGGGCCTGGAGTGGTGGGGGGCACCCTGAGGTGTGATGAGGGCCAGCACAGAGCAGGGCTACCTGGACACAGGGGACTACCAACAGGTGGAGAAGGGCTCCTGGGCTCCCAGGAGCCTGAGAGGACCCCTCTCAAGCTAACCAAAATGGGCTCCTTCCCAGCAGCCCCAGGGCAGGAGACTCAGCCTTACCTCAGGGCCTGGGAGTTCATTCGTTTGGTATGGTGGGCAAAAATGGATCAAATAGTCATGCTTCAAAGGAGCATAACTAGGAGTCCTAGGAAGGAGGCAGGGGTCTGAGGGTGTGGGCCAGATAGGTGACAAGGGCACATACTCTCCGGAGAAAGGGCAGTGTAGTCAGCAAATGAGCAAGGGGTTGACTGGGGAGATGAGTAAGGGATGGAGCTGGAAACTTCCAACAGGGGACAGCACATATGTGAAGCCAGAGACACAAAGGGCCAGGGGCAGAGGGGAGAGGAGCAGGCTTGCTGAGCTACATCTTGGGGAACTGGCATGCCTGAGAGCCAGGGGAAGCCACTGGAGACTGGTTTTGGGGGACAGTCTCACTATGCACAGACTATTTCTCTACAGTTTCTGGGGATCCGGCAGTGGAGAGCCACACTGCTCTGCAGGCAGGAGAATGACCTGGCCCTCCCGCCTCAACTGGGCAAAGCCAGCTGTACTGGGGACCTAATGCCCAGCCCGGGCCTGCCTGTGTGTGGGTGGGGCACCCACCTCAGCTGCAGCCAGTTCTGCAGCCCAAGCCCCAGATTCCAGTGCTGGCCTCTGCAGCCAGTTTCCTGCTGTGTGCCTTTGTCACTGGCACAAAGCAGGTGCATGCGCAGGGCCCAGTGCACAGGCCCGGGGCTCCTTGCACACAGCCTGCTGCGGTGTGGTGACCCTGGAGCGGGAAGGGCTCATTAAGGAAGAGTTTTGGAGCCCAGGATAGCAAAGATGAATAGGATCGTATGTTTGATCCTAGAAATGGCTTCATTTGCCAGGAGAGCTAAGAGCAGGGCTAAAATAACCAGGCCTGCAAGTGTGCACGTGAGGCGCAGAGGTTTCAGGAAGTTGATGAAGTGGGTGGGCTGAGTCAGCACCCAGGGAACCCAACTGATGTAGACCCAACCATCTGCTTGTCTTTTCTACCTAGGGTCTTGGTCCTGGACAAGGGCGTAGTAGCTGAATTTGATTCTCCAACCAACCTCATCGCAGCTAGAGGCATCTTCTACAAGATGGCCAGGGACGCAGGACTTGCCTAAAATATATTCCCAGGATTTCCTGGAAGGGAAATAACACCATGCGTCTGAAGAATGGATTCGGTGGCAAGGGAGGGTAGGGGCGTTACATGAGACTATGTCTCTGGAAGGAGTTTCCCAAAGTAAGCGAGGAAGGGACACCCAAGAGGATAAGAAGTTCATAGCCACAGCCTGGGAGCCCCAGTCTAGTGTAATTTCTACACTGCACTGTCTTTGTGTGTGTGTGTGTGGCCAGCTACAACCCACCAGGGGGCGGGGCTGGCTGGCATGTGGTGCTGGGGGATTGAACAGTGGTCCCTGTGCTTTTGCTAAGCTTGTTCTAAGTAGGTGCTTTAGACCACTGAGCCATCTCACCAGCCCCAACTGCACTGTCTTTGAACAATCATTCCATGGGGAGATCCTCTCTCTACTTCTAATTTTTCTTTTCTAAAGTATTTTTTAATAAAGTTTTTCCTGGGCTGGGGAGATAGCTCAGTGGTCTAAGCACCTGTCTTGCAAGCACAAGAACTCAGGTTCGATCCCCAGTATTGCATGCCAAACCACAGAGCCGGCTCCAAAACCCAGCGTGGTGGCACACGCCTGTAATCCCAGTTCTGGGAAGGCTGAGACAGGAGGATCACTACGAGTCCAAGCTGCTTAGCAAGACCCAGTACCAAATAAATAAAGATTTTTTAAAATAATAATAAAAATAAAAATAAAGCTTTTCCCTCCTGGAATGGAAGGCTGCCAGACCAGGCCATCCTGGAAACCAAGTCCTATACCCGGGTGCTGCCTGAATGCATTTGAAAAGAGTGCCAAGGAGTCAAGCCCTTTGGTCAGTGACAGACACCCCTTGGGTCACCTTTTCTGCCTGTTCACCAGGTTTAGGGACTGGGGCATCCAGAAGAGGTGGGGAGAAATGGGAGAGGTTCCATCCACATCTGTATGGTTATAGTCACCTGAATAGTTTGGACTCAAAGATTTTGGCTGGAAATAGAGTCTTCGCAGCCAAAACTCATTGGGCAACTGCCAGCTGTTCCGCTCCGCTGTGCAGGTACCATGAAGAGGTGAGAAACAGGGGCCCTGAAATCTGACCTGAGGCTCCCGGGAAAGCCGCTGAGAACACACCCTGTTCCTGCCAAGCCTCGGTCTGCTTCTTTGGGAGCTGAGGGCTTGGGGCTCTCGCTGCTTTATGAGGGGTCCCTGAGGTCTCTGGTCACTCAGTTTCAGTCCCACAGGAACGAATATGTGAGGAAAGCCCAGAGCCATTCCTTCCTCAGGGTCAGGCTAGCAAAGGAGATGGGGGAGTGGTGATTATTATTTTTTGTGATTATTTCATTTTTTGCAGTACATACTGGGGACTGAAGCAGGGCCTTTGCACTGGGGTACATCCTCAGCCTTTTTTTCTTCTTTTATTTCTAGACAAGGTCTCTCTGAGTTCCACAGACTGGGCTCAAACTTTCAATCCTGCATCAGCCTCTCAAGAGCACTAGGATTGTAGGTGTGCCTTACCAGGCCTGCCTTACATTTGATTTTCCAATAAACCAACAGTGTATTCACATTCTACAGATCAGGGTCCAGCTGGCAGCAGGACTTCGATTTGGAATAGAGCTTCCTTTTGTCACCATCCCCACCTTTCTCCTGGTCCTACCCCGCTCTCCTACGCCTCCTTCCCAGGGCTGGTGTGACGGGTTCTGGTGGGTGACAATGGTTTCTTCTCTCCACCCTACGCAGTTTGCCAATGTGGAGATGACCCCTTTGATCTGTTTTCTCTGTGCTCTGGGTCGGCCTGCGGTGCAGGGCCATTTGTTAAAGGTTAATCGCATTTTTTTTGGCAGGCTGTTTCTGCCCGGAATGTTTATGGGGATGTGGAATGCGACTTCCATCCCGGTGATAAAGCAAGTCTGAAAGCACAAATGCCCAAATTATTCTGCCTCTCCTTGGTGCTAAGAAAAGGTCTCTGCCCAGCTCTGATTTATTAGGCCAATTTGGCATGACGTCTGCTCTGTGAGGTGAGAGCTGGCCTGAACCAACAGGACAGCGGATCGCTGGGCACCGCTCTCTGGCAGGATCTGAGGTGTGAGGCTGCATTTCCTCTCCTGTCTGGGGGCTCGCTGGGAGCTCACTGAAGCCCCGACAGGTGCTGACAGCCCAAAGGAAGAGGCGCACTTGTCAAGGAAATAGGATAATCAGCAAATGTGGTTAATAGGGGATGACCTCCGCAGAGCCAGCTCAGCTACTCCAGGAAACAATAGCAACCACAGGGACTGAGAGGAAAACGCCACGCGAATATCTGTCCGCAGACAGGGCTCCAGCGCCTCTGCAGACTGGGGTGGAGGAGCCCTGGGTGGGCATGACCCTGAGATTTCCCTCCAAGCTCCAGGTCCCATGCAGCAAGCTGAACCCCTGTGATTAGGATAAAGCTGTTTAGGAGGCCAAGAGGAAAGAAAATTGGCCTGGTCAATTAATAGTTAACTTTAATAATGTGTGCCATGTATAGTTAGCAATGCAGTCTTCTGGGAATGTTTACACATGGTGTGAACACATGCTCTAAATACTCGGTGGAGGGGCGAGCTCAGTAACAAGGCTAACAAAAGGTCCTCATTAGAAATTACACAAAGCGTATAAAAATATTTCTCTGAATGCATAGATTAAGACGCTCATCTTACCTCCCGGCACCTGTGTCGGCTCCCTCTGCCAGCGTCTGACCACAGAGGCTGTGAGGGAAGAGTGAGACGGGTAGGCAGAGCTGGGCACCCCGGCTCTCACCGGGACACCCATCCTCCTCTGCCAGGGCCAGGGAAGCCCTGGGGACTCCTCTGGCCGCTTCCTAGTGGCCCCGGAGTCTCAATTCATTGAGGCGGCTCAAAGAGTGGAACCTCAGTAATTTAGACATGAATTAAAACTGAATTTATTTCTTCCAGGAGAGACCCACACTTCATTGTGTTAGTAAATTCTGACTTTTTTTTTTTTTCAAAGCAAAGGGGAAAAAAGGGTCAGTACACCTAGATAAGTAATTTCTTTTTTTTTTTTTTTTCCAGAACCAGGGATTGAACTCAGGTCCTTGCGCTTGCCAGGGAAGCGCTTTATTCCACTGAGCCATCTCCCTGGCCCCTCAGTAATTTCTGATTGGACAGGACACAGGGGAGGGTTCTTCCTGGAGAGGACAGGGTGACAATTGACCTTCACTCCGGGAGGCAAACACTCCCAGGGTGAGTCACCAGCAGGAGCCAGTGGGGTGGAACACAATTAAGTCACTACATGGAGTGACTGGAGCAATTGGCCTGGGGCAGCACCTCAGCCTTCAGGCGACACTGAGGCAGCAGCAGGAGGCCACCACCTCAGCACAGCAGTCTCCTCTGTGACACCTTCCGCGTGTTCTTGCTAACTGCGGTATTCTAATAAAGTTAACAGGGAGTTCCATTTCTTTGGAAACGATAGGCACTATGGGGAGAGCTCCTTAAGACAGCAGGGCTGCTTCTCCTCAGCAGGCTCTGATCTGCTCTCCCGGGCATCTGTCTGGGCTCCTAGCTCTAAGGCTAAGCAGTTGCTTTCAGCAAGATACTGGCTTCTCCTGTAATGTGAATGACACTGAAAAAAGGGGAGAGAATCCTTGAATGCATTCTTGACAAAAATTCTTACACCATGCTTAAGAGTTTGGCAGGACATTTGCTCCTGCCCTCGTTTAGGTCTGGTAGACTCACAACTCGTCTTGTTGAGTGGACTGCTGGGGGAGTGGAGGGGAGTCCCTAAGATCAAACAATTGGCTTACAAAAGCAACAGATTCCAGAGCTGTGTAAAAACCCTAATAATTTCAAAATAACCTTTATCTTTGATACAAAAATAAAGATGCTAACTCCTTTAGCTCAGTTTCCCACAATAACCTTTAAAATAGCAACAGATTCAAGCTCAAAAACTGCTTTTCCCTCCTAGTGAGAGATGAGGGTGGGGAGCAAGCCCGCAGCGATTGTGCTCTCCTCGGCGGTGCAGGCAGGCGGTCAGTGACAGGAGTCTCCTCAGGGGTGGGCAGCGGTGGCTCCTTCGGAAAGCGCCCGAGAGCCCTCTAGTGACGGTGATGGGGAGAAGATGCAGAGACGAGACAGAAGTGGGCTGAGGGGTTACCAAGGGGCAGGAGGGGGGGGGAGCTCTTTTGGTTAACAGCCTATTTACAATTAGGTAACTGTGTTCTTAAATACTTTAACCTGAGTAACATTTATAAATACGTTAGAGGAAACCTCACAGCCAGAGTCACACCTCCCTTGGCCAGTGCCGGTGCTCTCCCGGACCTGCACGCTGGCTGGCTCAGGTTCAGGAGTGCCCTGAGTGTGCACCACGGAGAGCCCAGGGCAGCAGTGTGTGCACAGGGGCGGCTACGGCTCCGCTCTGCGCCCAGCACACCCTCCCCTGCGCACGACGAGCACACTGGCGAGGGAAGCTCGCTGCGGCCCCTCTGGACCACATCCTAGCTGTTCGGTTTCAAGGGCTAGGCTTGTTGTGCACCAAGAGGCTTGGAAGCGTGGCACCGCTGCAGGGGTTAGGCTGGGGCTTCCTGCCTTGGCAGAATGGTGTTAGTGACACTATGTAGTGGCACCAGGGGCCCTCAGGGGCATGGAGGTTTTTGGATCAATGGCTTGTCCTTGGCCCAGAGGTGACACACAGTTGCAGTACTCAGCAATAAAAGTCCCTGCCGTGTTAGTACGTCAGCTTGGAAGCTCTCCTGTTGTAGCAAGGCCTTTCAGCCAGGGTGGAGGCAGCATTTCGGAACAGAAAATTATTCTCACTTATCATTAGAACCAGTTCCAGCTCCTGGAAATCCTGGAGTCGAGCAACATCTTTGTCCTGGAACAAAACAGGTGAACAAGTTAAGAAGAACTACATGTTATGTATGTGTGAATGGCTGCATCAAGACCAGTGTCTGGCTCGCTTCAAAACCTCAAGGGAAACTAAAATCCCCGTGGCAGGAAGTCCTTGATTAAGTCCCCACACCTGGGCTGGGCTGGGCTGGGCTGGGCTGGCCGAAGCCTCCAGGGCCACTGCTGCGGGAGGAGTACGGGCCTCGGAGGAACAGGCAGCGAACAGGTCCACTTTCGTCAGGGCCCAGATGAGCTAACTGACGTTCAAAGTGGGAGAAGCACATGTGTACCCTGCAGGTCTGTCCCACAGCTGAGCTTGAACTTTCATCTTGTAAAACACTGAGCACACTATGGCGCACAAAGTCACCCACAGGGCAATCCCCAAAGAAGCCAATAGGTACATGTTATGGCTTGTGTCCTGTCCCTGCAAAGCCTCCATAAACCAAGAGGTGTACTTGTAGGGGTGTACCAGGGGGTCTGACTAACTCATGATCCACTAGGATTATGGTGCGAGCACTCCACTGGCCTGGGGCAGACAGCCTGAGCACAGTGCAAGGGAGACAGCCTCGCTTGGAGCCATTGTTGCTGCTCCTCCTCCCTTTTGCTCTTGCTGTTTTGCTGCCTTCTGTTGCCATGAGCTGCTGCCCTCAGCCATATGCCACTCCGCCTTGGAGCCAGCTGAGTATGGACTGAAACCTCCACTGACTGTGAGCTAAATAAACCTTTCCTTCCTTAATTTGGGGTGTCGGGTATCTGTCCCAGCAACGAGAGAGGAGTGATGGAGACAGCACGTGTGAGCAGAAGGGCAGCGCACTCTCTCCAGGACCCTATAGCTCTCAAAGCTGCCCGTGTCTTTGGCTCCGCAGAGGGAAGGCAGGCTCTGGCTCCACTCGGAACACCATGGCACTCCTTTTCTCCTCCTTTCTCGTTTCTTCAACTGTGACTCACAGCACTAGGGAGGAAGTTAGGTGTTTTCTCACTGCAGAAGCAACTGCGTGAGCTCAACACCACCCTACCTTTCTCAGCAGAGTATTGGGGAGCTTTCTGATCTTTTCCACTTGGTCTGGACTGACGCCCAGCTCGCAGCAGCTCACTCTGAGCAGCTCCTGGTAAGTGAGCTCCTGTCGGTCCAGTTCAATTTCAATGAAATCGTTTTCGCGCAGGGATGGGTTCTGAATCCTCACCTTAAGAACCAGCTCTGGGGAAAAGGGAGAAATGGTTATGAACAGTCTGGCCTGGCACAGCCCAGGTGAATTAAGATGCTTTCCAGGAGATGGATGCTCTTAACCCTGCCAGGGCCAAAGTTCTGGGAGGTCTGCAGAGACCCATCCTGGCTCTGCAGTGCCAGCTTCCCGAGCTGTGTGCCCTGCATCTAAGGCTCGGTTTCCCGAGTGGAAGGGGGCAGGGCAGCACCCCAGTGTGTGAAGAGTTGTTCACTTCTGTCCTTGGAACCAAGGCCTGAAGGCTTCATAAGTCATCTGCAGGAAAAAGGAAAGACTAGGCTGTATCTTGTGGTGTTTGTTTGGAATTAGAGCCATCAGGATGATCTGTGGTTTCTAATGTTCTTAAACATGGTACAGGTAAGTAGATACAGAAACACTGTATACATGTATATATGTATACATGAATCATGTTTATCTGTTGGCTTTTATCATAATACTGAGGGCTGAACCCAGTACTGAACCCAGTACTTTGAGTACTGAACCCAGTACTTTGAGTACTGAACCCAGGACTCAAAGCCTCTGCACTGAGCTACACCAACAGACCTTTTCCAAACTTTTCCTTTTGGGACAGGGTCTCACTAAGTTGATGAGTTGCCCACGCTGGGCTCAAACTTGCAATCTTCCTGCCCAAGCCTCCCAGAGTGCTAGGTCTATCAGTGTATGCCCCACCTGGTTTGCTTTTTCTTTCTTTAGTAGCTCAGTCCTCTGTGTGAGCCTGAAAGAAATGACAAACCTATAGGAATGAGGGTGCCTTATACCACATCCTGGTTTCTAAATATTCTTCTCTACCAAAAAGAGCCAGTGTTGCTTAGAAAAGTGGTTAAACCCAGGCCAGGGCAGGGGAAGTTATAATATGCAGCTGGAATATCTTGTTGAACTAAAAAGTGAAAACGTATTCCAGGAATGATGGAGACATGTCCAAGGGATATAAGAACTAGCTTGAAAATACTTCCACTGGCAAAATCAGGAATGATCTGAATATCAAACTAGTAATAGGAACAGATTAAGCCCAGTGAATATAAGAATCTATGTGTCCTATATTAATATAAATGGGGGATGAGCATGGGGGCTCATGTCTGTAATCCCAGCTACCTGGGAGGCTGAGGCAGAAGTATCGTTGCCACGTTGAGACCAGCCTAGGCTACAAAGTGAGCTCAAGGCCAGCCTAATCCACATAGCGAGACCTTGTCTCAAAAAGACAAAATATATATATATATTTTATTGTGAAACCAGCTCTCGACATATTTCCTAAATTTGATAGTTGTGTTGAAATAACACAAAAGAATATCCTTTGTTTCCAACAAAGCCACAATAGGAATAACACTTCAGAATTTCAGGGTAGAGGAGCAAAAGGTAGAAGAGCAAAATCTTAGTAAAAGGGGTTGCACAGGTCCTACACCTTCTCTAAGTTTGGAATTAGACATCAAGTACGTAAGCAGCTCTTAGTGCCGGGGCCCGGCCCCCCACTGCAGAGGCGGATTGCTGGCAAGGCCTCACCTTGCATGTTGAATGGAAATGCTCCAGTGAAGAAAAACGGCTGGAAGGCTGGCGCCGGTCCTGGCAATGTCCCGTTCTGAGGCTCCAGAGCCATGGGTGGCTTGGATGGGACAGAGGAGAAGAGGGAGCGGCTCTGACTCACAGGTGGCTGACAAACAGGCCCTGGTTTTGTGCTTTCTGGTGCTCTTAGGATGGCAGAAGGGGCAGACATGTCACCGTTCTGCACCAGAGCCAAAGAAGTGTGGTCCCGAGGAAAGGCCCCTAGCAGGGGAGGTTCCCCTGGGGGCAGCATCGGAGGGGAGCTGTCCTCAGGACAGGAGACTGGAGGGGTGGAGGGGCCCCCATTCTGCAGCGGGGCTGGCTCTTCTGCCGAAGCGGTATAGATGAAGGGGAAGGGCGGGTTGGCCAAGTAGTTGGGAACAAAGGGCAGTTCTGACTCCTTCTGATGGGGAAGGCTGTCGTCTTCATCCTCCTCTTCCGCTTCAAGGGAAGAAAGCAGAGAATGTTTGCAGAGCCCTTTAAAACTTACCAAAATATAAAAATAAATCTTTTGGCAGCTGTGTACGTTAGGCTATAACAAATATTTTGATTAGTGTTTATTAGTTTTTCAGGTTAGAAGGGAAAAGAATATTTTGTTAGGTTTATATTTTATCATTCTTCAATTTTACCAAGTCCAAAACCAAACAGAAACCTTATGACTCTGACCTCCCCAGAAAGAATATGGAATTACTACCTTGGCAAAGTAATTAGCTTTGAGGATCTACCAGCTGCTTGCTCAGCATCAAGAATGCGGGCAAAGGGCCAGCCAGATAGCTCAACGGACTAAGCACCTGCTTAGGCAAGCGCAGGGACCAGGGTTTGATCCAAGCATCATAGCATGCTTTGCCAGCCCCACGCCAGGGCAGGCTGAGCCAGGCACAGAGCCCGGGCGTGGTGGCACATGCCTGAAATCTCAGCTGAAAACAGGAGGATCACTATGACTTTGAGCTGTGTGGTGAGACCCTGTACCAAATGCATTAAAACAACAAGAAGAAGAAGAATGTGGGCATACTAGCAGGAGCCTTAAGTTAGCTTGCCAATATCAAACGTCCCCCCAAACATGAACTCACCTCCCATGATCTTCCTGATCTCTCGCCTCGATGTCAACTGTACTGGCATTTCCCCTTTGGTGGTCAGGATCTCTTTGTCAGCTCCTGACTTCAGCAGGTAAGAGACCACCTGACCGTGGTTGCGTTTGCATGCCCAGTGTAAACAGGTCCTGTTCCAAATGAAGGAAAAAGGATAGGTGGTTTGAGATTCAAGTTTTACACATCAGTACATAAATATATGTAAGCTTGTTAGAGTTCAGTTAGAAACCAAGTGGTGGGGCCTGGGAGATGTTTCAGCAGAATAAGTACTTCCCTGGCAAGCGCAAGAGTCTGACTTCAATCTCTGGTTCCGCCAAAAAGAAAAAAAAAAAAAAGAAACCAATTGGTAATCACAATGTTTTACATCACAAAGCAGATGGTCAAAATACTTAATATGCTTAAAACTTATTTTTACATTTCATTTCTAAAAAAAAAAAACAAAAAAAGGGGCCGGGCAGATGGCTTAGTGGAATAAGCACTTCCCTAGCAAGCGCAAGGGTCTGAGTTCAACCCCCGGTTGATAGAGCCCTTGCCTAGCATGCCAAACCCTGGATTCAATCCCCAGCACTTATCAGTAACACTTATTAGAGTCCTTCAGTGTCTTAAAACTTATTTCTGGGGCTGGTGAGATGGCTCAGTGGTCTAAAGCACCTACTTAGAACAAGCTTAGCAAAGCACAGGGACCGCGGTTCAATCCCCCAGCACCACATGCCAGCCAGCCAGCCCCGCCCCCTGGTGGGCTGAGCTGGCCACACACACACACACACACACACACACACACACACACACAAATAAATAAATGAAATTTAAAAAAAAACAAACTTATTTCTGTGTTCCCTCTTCCTTCTTGGGGACAATGATAATTTACTTCATACGCATCCAGCGTCACTGGAAGATGAAATAGTATCAGGCTAGTCACCACCTCCTATCTGCGGCTTGCTGTTATATCAGTGAGTATTATTACGGCAGATATTCTTGCCAGAACTTCAGTTGCTCCTTCCTTTTCCTCTTTTCTATCACACACACACACCTCCCTGGGATATCCCTAGTTCCCCCCAGAAGGCTCCAAGCCTATCCTCATCTGCTTAGACAAAAGGTCTATGCCCACACCTACGCTTCTAAGGCACCTACAGTGCATATACCGACCCTTCAGCTTTTCAAGACTATGTCTGAAATGATCAGACCCATTGAAATAAAACTAGTCATTTACTATTGTACACAGGGAAGGTGATTCTGTACGCTCCGAGGGGCTATTACATTAATACTGCATAGAAATATAATTAGCATGCTGGTGAAAATGCCGTCTTACTAGAAGGTAAAGCATCTGGAGCTACTGAATTCATCCTCAGGTGCCAGGGCCGAATGCATATTCCAGAAAGAAAAGACCGCTTTCCCTCTGATGGGAAATGCTCTCGCTCACCACCTCCCTAACTGAATGGAGACGAGAATCTTCAGGGCTTATAACCAAACACGGGCAAGAGGAAGAGCAGAACATGTGTTCCAGAGTGAGGGGCGGGCCACTACCCAGAAAATGCAATTACTGGATCCTGGAAAGGGCCGCTTGCCCCGGGCACCTCCACATTAGTGAATTATAGAAGGCTGAGTTGTCTGGCTGGCCGGAACGATTCCACTGATGTTTACAGAAACACCCTGCGCTGTTATCATTAGAATTACATTCTCTGGGTGCCTCTGTGGTGTACACTATGATGAAATTACAGCCTGCATGAAGAAAATGAGTCCTTTTTGTTATTGTTGCTGCGTTTGGGGCAGTGGTGGGGGTGGAGCCAGGCTTCACACAAGCGCAGCGCCACGCCAGTGAGCGGCACACCCAGCCGAAGAATCTCAGTCTGGACTCTCAACTCTAAGCTCTGAAGATGAGAAAATACTGGCCTGCCACTTAGTCCTCACCAGTGGATGAATGAACCGAGGATAAGATGGACATTGCTCGGAATAGAAGGATCTGTATCCACGATTCCGGGCAAATTGCAGCCTGGAGGGTTTGCATGTGGATGTCTGTGGCGGGCTTGAAGAGCAAATAATTATAATAAGTGAGCACTCAAGAATGAATGGCGCATGATGAGAAAAATATGGTCCCTTTGGACGTAAAGTGCTTGCTTGTGCGTAGTAAATCACTCATCCATGACAAGCTG